TTTTTAAAAATTATTTTTTCTCCTTTTTCCCCTTCTCTTCCCCTTTTTTGTTGGTATTGGGGTTTGACCTCAGCTACCATGTTGGCCATACTTCTGGCTCTTTATTGAAGTAACTTCAAAAACGTAGAAAGGATGCCAGGTATTTGGTTAACTACTATATAGTGGGTTAACCTCAAAATAGAAAATTTGGTCAATAAGAAATTTTTTATTCTGGAGTCAGAGCTATTTTAGGGACTTGCTGCCTGGAAAGGACACCCCTGGGACAGCAGATCCCTTAGTTCCTAGTGAACAGCTGCATCACCAGCACAGCTCCTCCTGACCATGCAAAGGCTGTCAACAGGGAATTGAGCCCAGCTTATTAACCCCTTTCGGTTTCCTTTCCAGCTAGCCACAGTGCAGCCTGGGCAGAATTTCCACATGTTCACAAAGGAAGAACTTGAAGAGGTTATCAAGGACATTTAAGCATTTAAGGAAGAGTGATCTTCAGAACTTCTTTGGGACATTTTCAGTTTTCCTAATTGCCCTTAAATTTTATTCCCAGCGCCAATTCCTTGGAAAATCTCTAGTATGTGTTCATTTTTTTTTTAATGATGTCTGTACATAAAGGCAGTTCTGAAATAAAAGAAAATTTTAGAGTATTTGTTAGTGGTCTGTGTTCTTACAATACAGTCTTTTATTTGAAATGGTTATGTTCACCAGTGGATGGACAGTGGTATTAATATCCCTCTCCTGCGAGAGTGTCTGTTCTAAAATTATTCAGAACATAGTTAACTTTGCCATGAGTCCCCTGGGTGATGAAAAATGAACTCAAGCTAATCCAGCTCCTCCTAGTGGGTAGTTGATGTTAATACTCCGTAAATCCATTACATTTGTGTAAATTCTCTTAGATGAATATATATTTTTATTGCTATCATGAAGGGGATGCTACTCAGTGGCTTTTTGGGGGTTGTTGATGAGTTGGGATAAACCATCTACCATGTTAAAGCTGTTAATTGTATCGTGGTGACGGTTTGAAAATGCTTCCCGTTTTATGAAGTTGACATGAAAAAAATTAAAGTGATCTTGGCCTCACTAGTAATTACAAATCTCTGCCTTATCAGTAAATGTAAAATTCAGAAGCAGTTTATCTTAGACTATTAAAGAATAATTTATGCATCAAAAATGGCCATAGGACATAGGTATTATATAGCATTATCACTAGCTAGATGAAGAATCTAAGGCTCTGTGATCATGCACACAGAAAATTAAGTTGTTGGAGCTTAAACTCAGATGTTCTGGCTTCACATCACCACTCTTGAGTAACAGGGAAATGTCATGGAGATTTGAAATATAGTTGCACCGTCCACACTATGGATAGTCCATATAAGTGGATGATGAAGAATTGATGATAATTCACTTATGAGGATCCGCAGACTATTTTCCAAGGCTTTTCTATATTTTCATTAGGTACTTGCACTCTGAGGTTAAATCGTAACCCCCTGAGTAGACTAAATTCATACTGTAGTTCCAGCAATAAACTTGTACCTACAATCATTTTGGAAACTCCAATGACAGGAAATACTGGGAACAAAATCTGTCCTAGACATACAGAACAAACCTAGAAAACTAGAGTATATTATTAATTTCCTAGAGACTTTAGTGATTTTAATCCTGTTATATATAACATGTTAATGATGAGATTTGTTTAACTCATGGTCACTTTTATTAAATCTTAATAGAAAACATCATTAGAAAAGGTTCTACCTCAACTTCAATTACTCATTTACAAGTTTATTGAGAACCTACTTCCTATATGCTAAGTAATGCATTGGGCATTTGTGGGGGATAAAGTTATGAAAATGTTCTTGGTCTCCATATGGTCTGAAATTCACATCTAGTGGGAAGAATTGAGCAATAAATTTCCCTTTTAACACTAGTATAATGTAGAAATGGAGAAAGCACATGCTAGTTTGGAGATCTGAGTTATTTCAAACACATGAATTATACAGGACAAGAATACCAAGCAATAGTTTTTAACCTAGTTCTCTGCTTCAGCTTAAACTGTCTTCCCTTGTGGGCATCAGTGGCTCATCTTAGCTTCTCAGGAGGCTGAGATCTAAGGATAGCAGTTAGAAGCCAGCCTGGGCAAGAAAATCCACAAGGTTATCATCTCCAGTTAGCCACATAAAGCCAGAAGTGGGGCTGTGGTTCAAGAGGCAGAGTGCTAGCCTTAAGCATAAGAGCTCAGGGACAGTGCCCAGGCCCAGACAGAGTTCAAGCCCCAAGACTGACCAGCCCTCCCCTCCCCCCAAAATGGAGGTGTGGTTCAGTGATAGAGGGCTTTGCCTTAAACATAGCTCCCCTAACCTGAGTTCAAGCCCCAGAACAGGCATAAGAAGAAAATAAAAACTGTCTTCTTTTGTATTGCCTGGGATTTTACATACCATAGACTGAGGAAGCAAAAGTCATGCCCTCTGTTATTAAAATGTGCATTCTTTAAGGAGAATTTCAATTTTCTGTAGACTGTTGAAGCAAGGTTTGCTGTCAAATGATGTTACTAGGAAAGGCAATGTTTTTAGTGATGTGTAGGTTGCTTTATATCTATTTTCTGCTATATTTATTTAGAGAAAATACAGTGTAAGTAGTAAATTTGACATTTTACATGTGACATTTTACATGCTACACATTTACATATTTTACATGTGTGACATTTACATATGTAATCCCTAGCACTGCAAAAAAAAGTTCCTTTCACTGTCAGGCTCCTAGGATCTGATGGATTGAGGAAATGTACACTGTAAGAATATAGTAGCATGAACTTAAAAGCAGGGTGAGGCCAGGTGTGCTGGTGCCCACTTGCAATCCCAGCTCTGAGGAGATGAAGGATCCTAGTGTGAGAGCAGCCTAGGCAAACTAATGGGACTCTATCTGAAAAAATAAAAGCAGGGCTGGTAAGATGGCTCCGTGGTAGAGTGCTTGCCTTGCATGCATGAGGCCCTGGGTTTGATTCCTCAGCATCACATAAGCAGAAAAAGCCCGAAGTGTTGCTGTGTCACAAGTGGTAGAGTGCTAGCCTTGAGCTGAAGAGCTGAGGGACAGCACCCAGGCCCAGAGTTCAGGCCCCACGACTGCCAAAAATAAATGAATAAGAATAAAAATAATAAAAGCAAAAGGAATGAGGACATGAATCATGCAATAATGTTGAGCCAGATATAGTCCTAGCATTTGGGGGGATGAGGCAGGAAGATCAGGAGTTGTCCATCAGCCTGAGTTATATGGCAAGACCTTGTCAAAAGCAAATAAAGTGAGGGTAGTACAAACAACTGCAACTAATTTAATAGCTAAAATGTGTATCTGATAATTTCTCCAAGAGGTGGCACTATTGAGTTGCCTTTATTTTCGGACAAGAAGACAATAGACCATTCATCTTTGTGTCACTGAAACAAAGAAATATTCCTTTATAGCCTCACTTCTCACCCCCCACCCTATTACCAGTCACATGCCACTGGAACTGACTGCCTTGTGATCTACTCTATAGTTGGCATAGCTTTAAAACTAATCTGTATCTTTAAAAATTAATTTGACACGTAGTAGTTGAAGACAGGAACACATTGTTCATCGTTTCATCTATTTTATCTTGTTATTTCCAGTAGGTCTCCAGTTGAGAACTTGGAAGACTTCTCTGGTGATTTTTCCATCTTGCTTAGATGGCATTCAGAAACTTTTCATCTCTCACGTCTCACTGTGTTATATTTGGGGGGGGGGGGAGGACATACATTTTGTAAATCTTTTTCTGAAACTAAAGTGACTAATATTTTGACATAAAATTTGGATAGGGTTCATTGCTTTTTGCTCTGTAGCGAATATATCCTGTGTTGGGATTATTGTTACTTTATAGGTAAAATTGTTTCAGTTGCTTTCTTGAGGTGTAACATTTTACATGTTTTGAATCTAGTTGCTATCTCTTCTACTGAAAAACTTGTAGCATTGGGAAGAGATGGAGAAAGGGTTAAGAATTTGGAACTGGTTTTACCTGCACTGCATGTTCTCAAAGTGGTTATGTGCAGATTATCTACTGCAAAGGGAACAAACTGTATGGGGGGGTGTTATTTATTAGAGTGCTAATTTAGAGGGACATCACATACTGGAACCAAACTAGTGCAATGCACTCACTGCATGATTAAGGACATTGCGGTAAAGGTAAATGTGCTACCTATGAGATGATCGTGTATAAAGTAGGCATTGGTCAATTCTCTCGCACCTCCTGCCGTTAACCTGTCCCTGATGCCTAAGCTACACCACATTCGAAGTCCAGGAAAACCAGGAGTTCCGCTTGTGGCCTACCTCTCTGTAGAAGAGGAAGGCCAGAGAAGCAAGACTTTTCAGGATTGCCTGAGTCACGGACGTCCTGATGTCTATCTGCCTCCGTGGGGGAGGGGGGGGGGGGTCGTTGCGCATTCACCTTGGCAGCAAGGCGGCTGTTTCGGCAGACAATGGATGCTCCAGCGAGCAGGGGGTTAAAAACCCGAAGCACCAGTTCATAACGATCGCCCCCCCCCACCCCCCTTTCCAGCCGAGCGAGTGCAGGGATTCCCTGAGATACTCCAGACGCTGCCTCAACCGAAGGGATTTCAGGAGTGTTTCTGGGGGAAATGAGGGGGAGTAACCAGTCCTTAACTTGTGGGGGCCAGAAAAGGCAGCGAGGGGGCCGAGGCGCCGCCAAACAGAGGGATTCGTGGGAAGGTGGGGAAAAACCCCGGCGAACTCTGGAAGCCGGGCCCCGGAGACGCCGGACGAGGGTGGGGAATGACCTCAGCCGTTTCTGCCACGTTCCAGCCAATCAGTCCCGCATCTTGGCATCCGAATCCAAGACCCCCGAATCTGGAGGCGACGCTAGCCAATAAGAAGTGGGCTCTGGAAGAAGGACAGGCGGCCATCCAATGGGGGCGCAGAGGCCCGGCTGCGCGTATCCAAGGAGCGCCGGGTTTCGGGCTCGGGGGTGTGGCGCAGCGCCGGCGGGGGTGGGCGGGCGCGCCGGGTGACAGGTGTCAGCGGCGTCGGCATTCGGCGGCGATGGAGCGGCCCCGGGGAGCTGCGGACGGCTTCTCGCGCTGGCCCCTCGGCCTCCTCCTCCTCTTCCTCCTGCAGCTGCAGCCGCCGGCGACTCTCGGCCTGGACCGGCTGGACGCACCCCCGCCACCCGCTTCGCTACCGCTTCGCTGGTCTGGCCCCGTCGGGGTGAGCTGGGGGCTGCGCGCAGCCGCGGCCGGGGGCCCGATCCCCCGCGGCGGCCGTTGGCGCCGCAGCGCGCCCAGCGAGGATGAGGACTGCGGCCAGGTCCGGGACTTTGTTGCTAAGCTGGCCAACAACACGCACCAGGTGAGCGAGCGCAGGGGGCCCGGGCGTTGCCCGCGCTGGGCGGAACCGCCCCTGGCCCCCTCGCGGCCGTGCGCCGTGCCCGGGCAGCGGCCCCTCTTCCTGCCCCGCGCCGCACGCCTGGCGTCTCCGCCCGGAGGAGACTCCCGGGCCGCGGCCCGAAACCGCGGCGGGCAGGCGGCAGGAGTCGGCCCTAGGCGGCGGGGGGACGCTGAGGCCCTTAGGGCTGTGTTTCGTCACAGGAGAGGCAATCTTGGACTTTTCACCGCGTTCTTTTTCTTTCTTTCTTTCTTCTCCTTTTTTTAAGTTGTCAAAATCTCTTGAGCGTCATTGTTTTCCGTCTGTATAAACAACCAGATTCACTCACGCTATTACCTACCAGGAAGCTGGAAGACTAATTAGGTCTTAAGTGCTTGCAGAAGAAGTTGGGCTGCGCAGAAGCAGAGGCGTGCCCTCTCTGGGTCAGTACTTTTGGGGGGGTGATGAAGTGGTTGTTCAGAAATCCCAAAGCAGTGGTTAGGCCACGGTGTGTGCATTTTAATAGTTAAAGGAAACGAGGTGAGTTTGAAACCGAACCATAAAACAACTTCCCAGCTCCCCTTCCCCCCCCCCCGCCCCCCACAAATTGTTCAAGATGCTTTGGGGGATGTAGGCACAGAACCCTTAACACCCTACCTGAAATGACCTTGAAAGGCTATCAGAACCAAAAATCCGATGACCAGGACATGGGGAACAGAACTGAGCCCCTTGGTCTAGATTAGAAATGAGGGTGCCCTCAGCAGCTGCAGGAAAGATGAGAATATTCACCCAAGTTCCACCTGGAGACGCTTACGGAGTCTGAACCGTCCCACCAAGATTCTGGACCATAACCAATTAACATTCTCTTTTTTCCCCCTCAACCCAGAACATTTAAATTCCTCAGCCACAAGCCCATCCAGGGGATGAATTTAGTCCATCCAAAATAAGCCTTTCTCTGCAAAAACAAAACAAAAACAAAAAACACAGTGCTCTCTTACTGGCTTCTGTGTGTGTCCAGCAGTGGGCTCTTGCTCAGTCACAATATTATTTATGTGGTCTATTTTATCCCTTCAAAATTGACCTTCTGTCCTGGTATCCCAACTCTGACCTGGACGTCTATATCCTGTTATGACAAAATTTCCAATAGCTGAGAAGCACGTAGCAGATACTTTGCTTTAGGTCAAAAGAATTTCAACATTGTGACAAGTAGTTGGGGACAAGTAGTTCAACCTTTGGCACACTTCTGAGTTGAGAAAATTGTTAGAAAAGTCTTGGCTCCTTGCTTCAGTACAACTAGGGCATCTTCCTCAGTTCCCTCTCCCAATGAACAATTGTTGCAACACATGTATGGAAAGTGCATTTTCAATTTAGTGTGTTCAATTTAGTGTCCTTCAAATAGAATTGCACATAGAGGTAGAGGTATATGGCCAAAGTTCTCAGAAGATGATGTTTCATTGTTTTCTTATGGCGCTGGAGATTGCACCAAAGGCCTTGGGCACACTAGGCAAGTGCTCTACCACCAAGAGACATCCCAAGCTCCTATTGGCTGATATTCTGTACCTGCACTGTACTGGTGTGACCACATTCCATTCTAGTGGGTGTCCTTTTGGATTTATCTTTCTAGGTCTTTCTGTCTTCTGGAGACACAAGCCACTTGAAATTAAGGCAGGAGTATTCAAAGAAAGTTGTGCTAATGCAATCTGGATAAAGTAGCTAATCCAGTGCTAAAGGGTGGGGTGGGGTGGAGTAGGTAGAGTTGGGGTGGAGTGAGCACAGCAAAGTCCTGTTTCGTGAGGAACAAAAGTGCACACACTTCCTTTTCACAGTGGGGCGTTGAGAAAGGCTTTACAACACTGGCACTTAATTTATGTCAGGACCACATTTGCCTTGAGTCAGCCAGACCCAGCATTCTCACTACATGTTTTAGGTTCTTATCTTGCTAGTTGATTTACATTTCAGAACTACAATTATTTCTGGATTTATTCCTGTACTCAGAGTCTTCCTGGTTAATTTCAAATGAAACGTCATTTGTAATGATTTCAAAGGAAGAGATTGAAAAACTGAATCTGAAACCACTCATTTTCAAAGTCCATATGTAAAAGAATTTTCCTCTGTTTCTTTTATCTAATTACTGTTTTTGGGTTTTATGGGATTTTTTTTTTTTTTAGCTTTTTTCTTCAGTCTTCTTTCAGTTACCTTATTTAAAATCACTGTGTTTGTTTTTTTTTTTTTTGAGGGATATCATCACTCCTCTGTAGTCTCTTCCTCAGAGAGCTCATCCTTTTTATAATTCTTATACCAAATTGGAAAAAAAGTGGTGCTCTGGTTAATAGCCTTCATCATAGAAATGATTGCGGTAGCTCTTACAGGTTTTGCCTTATTGCTCAAGAATTGTTATACAATAATTTGTTTTCAATTCTGTATTTTTAGAAGCAATAATAGTACTTCCTCAGCTGTACTGAAGAGATCTAGTATTTTTAGACCTTTTATATAAACAGTATAAAATGAAAGTATCTGCTGGACAGAATAATGTTTTATTAGAAACACTGCATACTTTTGCACAACTATGGAAATAAAGTACTTAAGTAATTTTTTCCTATGTAATATGACAGGATCCAATTCCCAAGAAAAACCAGAAGTTCTTGTTCTCTTCTCATGTCTTATAACTTGATGTAGTTCTTTTCAAGCCACATTAATTCCTGTAATGAATGTAAGCAAATGGGTGGTCTCCAAAGGCTCAGATCTGGGATAGGGGTGGGGTTGTTAAGCTACAAAATAAATAAGGAATTGGAGAATGAACAGTCTCAAAAGGTTTTTAGCAGATCTTCTAGACTTATTTCTGTGGCTTATGAGAACATATCAATGTTTAACTAATCTTATTAAGAAAGCAATGTGAAACTAAAGAATGATAGTTCCTTTTTCAGTATGGTTTTAGGCTCCCTAATGCTACACCTAAAACCTCTTCATTCATGAAACCCAACAGGTTATTCTCTTTCCCAAGCCTCCTTGTTTCTGTCTAGGAGATTTCCTTTTATATGCTTTCTTTTCATTCTTGATTTAAACACTTTCTAATGAGTTCATTTTGGACACCGTATTTTTTTTCATATAGATATCATAATGATTAAATGCTCTGTTTGGGATTTGAATGAGTATAGAAAAGATTTTATCATTACAGTATTATGAGAAAATAGAAGTGAAAATATTAGCTATTACTAAAATCAGAAAACAAAAATAACAAGAAAACAAAGGAGAAATATAACAACTCATACCTTATAAAAACTATTGCCTCCTAATTTTGTTCTGGAGATATTATATACCATAGAAAGGCAGTAATAGCACATAGGGAGGCTTTGATGTCAACTTGTTTACATTTGCATTTTGGCTATATTACTTGTTATCTTGGATAAATAAGAAATAAGTCCAGCCTGTCTTAGATCCTAGTCTATAAAGCAAGATAATGGTTGTAAAAAGTAAATGAGTGTATACATAAAATGTATTATGTATTAACTCATTAGAACAATGTCTAGTACTTAGCACACAATAAGCAGTTATCTATTGTTTTTGTTATTAAGGTTTATTCATATATACTATTTTCATAGACTGAATATGCTTCCTTTTGCTTTTACCCCTACACTATTTCCAGGCCATATTTTGGATTGATTCTTTCCATCAAGTGCTTGAAATGCTCATAACATATATAACCTTTATAGATGAGAAAAATCGAGCAGGCCTAGAAGATTTTATTAATGTTGGTTGCTAAGTTGGGTTACTTCAAAACATTCCCCCACTAAGCACCCCTTTGAGGGCAGACATGAAACTCTGTCTTAAAGAAACAGTCGAAATGTCTTGGCCAGAGTTATAGTGGTGGCTGACATAATTTCCTTACCTCTCATTCCTCTGTATATAGACAGACCATTTGACGATTTCCTTAAAACTTTTAAAACTTATGATTAACAGGGCCTCCTGCTGCTCCTGTCACTACTTCTTTGCACATAACTTTTTAACTTCTACCCCAACATCAAAGCATCTGCTTTCTAAAATAAACAGGCCCCAGTAGAGAGGCTGTTGTATGTGCAGCCTCTGAGAAGAATGTGTGTGTTTGTTTGCCACACTGGCAGTGCTGAGTCCGGCCTCACAGGACTGAATGTGCCTGTTGGTGGCTTCGGGAAGCTGCTGCTCTCAGCCTGTTGTGGATCACCAGATCTTTGTAACACCCGGAAATCTGAAGGTCAGTGCCTTTAACTGCCCCAGAACTTTGTAACTGCTTCATTTATTCCATTTCTTAACATCTCTTCATTCTACATTCCCCAGCATCCTGCTTCCACTGTCTAGTTTATGTTACCTTCTCAGCCATTCATTTTTGGTGATGGCATGGACATTCTGGAAGCTGTCCTTCTTGGTCCTGATTGAGTGAACAAAGCTCTCAGGAAGAGTCCATTTTCACAGTGTGACTCTCAGACCTTTAATCTCAAAGGGAACATTAAAAGTATGAGTATATCTGGAATTCTAGGGAAAACTGTCAGCAGATTTGGTAAAGTCTAATTTGTCTGGGGAAGGATTAGTGTTTACAAAGTCTGAAGTTTGGTTGAAGTGAAGCTAGGCAGGTATGGTAAATGGCTTAAAGGGAATGCAGTGTAACAGGTAAGTTTTCTGCTAAATCAAAATATTTGGCTCTGTAAATACTGATTTTTAATTAGTTTTATCTGTTTATGGAAATAATTGGAAGAAGGCTTATTTTTTGATTAGTTTCTAATAGTTGTGTGCTTTCTGTAATAGTGATAATTATAAGTGCTCCACCTTGCTGTTCTGATCTGCTCTTTTATGTCAGGTTCATAGAGGCTGTTAATAGTTCTATACTCTGCCTATTTTCTATCAGCTCTTGCCAACAGCCATCAGACTCTCGGTGGGTGACTGCTCACGTTATCCTCCCCAACTTTCCTTTTGTCTGGTTACCCTTGTGTGATGATCACATGCCAGGCAATGCT